GTGCAAGGGCCTGAGTTCAATCCCCAGTTTTGCCAAAAAAAGAAAACAAAACAATATTTACTGGGGAAAAGAAAGCTTGTGTCTAAGACAGGGACAGAAGGAGGGGCCTGAGCATATTGTTCCAGAGAATCGGTCTCTTCCAGGGACTTTTATAGAGGAATACCATGCGGTGAGGAGGGTCTGAGGTGAGGGAAGACATGGAAAGTCGCTTAGATGGGCTTGAGGTGGGACAACACTATGGTCAACCAATGAGATTACAAGCACCGTTGCTCAGGTAAAATTGATTAAAATTAGGATCAAATGCGTAAGCGAGTCAGGTAGCAAGAGGTGGGAATACAGAACCAGCTCTCTTCCTGTCAAAGGGGCTTGGGTTAGTGACTCACTTGGGCTCTTTCAAGGCGATTGATACCTGCTTAGCATATCAATCCCCGACACGCGCATTCCTAGGGTGGTAAGTGTTTGCATTTGTTTGCTCTTTTGTCTTGAGGTCTGCCCCACTGCAGGGGGAGGAAGTGTCCCTCCATAGTTGGGAAGTCACCTTAGCTTCCATATTGTCCTGGAGGGCATGGCCTGTCTCACTGCCTATAAAATTTCTAACTAAATTAGTTGCCTACATAATCCACTGCCCCATTGTTGATAACTAGCGAAAAACTGTAAAGAAACTAACTGTTCAATAGAAGACAGTAGGTTGAGAAGCAGTTTGTTCTAACCGTGTAATGCATTTCAAATGACCCCTTAGCTATATATGTTGACATTTAGAAATCTCGAAATAATAGCCTGGTGAAACGAGGCAGGCAGCAGCAGGCTAGGGACAGTCTCTGCCCTGGGCTCCGAACTCAGCACAGTAACAAAAAGCGGGGAAGAATTTGAACTCAGTACAAATGCATACACTTGAAGAACACAGAAAGAAAACAGTCATGGATGTTGTTAATGCATAAAAGGAGATAAAAATCTCTTTCCCAGAGAAATGTGCAGACATTTAAAGAAAAGTCGAGTAAACAAAATGTAGGAGAATGAACGAGGCAGTTAAAACAGACACAAGGCAGATGGAGGAGGGGCCGGAAAAGGGGAAGGTTTCATTTTCCAGAGATGGCAAAAATCTTCCGTGCCTCCAAACCAAGTGCTGAATGACAAAGAGTTTCCCCAGGTGCTGGATAGTAAGGATGATGTCACTGGGAAGTCCAGGGGTCCTGATGTGCAGTGAAGAGCTGGTCCCTCATGTCCTTGGAACTTTGTTCTTTGTGCTGTTGTGGGGAGGTGGGAGGAATTTTTCTATGTAGCCCAGGCTGGCTGTGAATGCGAAGTGATCCTCCAGGCCCTCAGCCTCATGAGTGCACGGCTGACAGGTGAGCGTCAGCACGTCCAGCTGGTTCTTTATGTCTTTGATGAAAGAATTCAATCTATACACATGGATCAGCCCGGCCTGGTGGTGCACATGTATGACACCAGCACTTGGGAGGCTGAGGCAGGGAAATCTCTGTGAATTTGAGACCAGCCTGGGTTACATAATGAGTTCCAGAGCAACCTGCATGGTATAGTGAGACCCTGACTCAAAAATGAAAACGTAAAAAATGAAATAAACAAAAAAAGACACATGGACCGGCATGCAGAAATCTAAGTAGAATTTAGTGCACAATAGATAAGGGTATCCCTTTAAGCTAGAAATGGGCAGCACCACAAAGGAATCTGCCTGGAATGGCAGTTTGGATACATTTTTGTGTACATAAAGAGTCACTCCAGGGGTTTAGGGAAGTAGAGAAATTATGATGTTTATCAGTATTTACTGAAAAGTTACTTTGGGATTGCAAAAGGCCTTGTATCCTTTTTAGATGGTTAGCATTTCCTCTGGGGCTTTAATCAAGTCTGAGACTCTCCAGGACGAACTTTACCGGTTCTTAATTTAAACCAGGTCCCGACCCGAAGCAGGAGGCTCTTCAAAGAACATTTGCTTTCCTGCTATTGAACTGCAGGCCTCGGCACCCAGGGGTACTGCGTGCCTCGGCGCGCAAGCAGCGGGCCAGGGATCAGAAGGAGTGCACAGTGTGCGAGTCTAAGATGTCACTGTGCCGCACCGACTCTCTTCAGGCCGGAGACATAATAAACGGTGTATTATTCATTGAAGTCTTTGTTCCTTTACATAAGCATGCTATTTTGGACCCTCCTCCTCCTTGTGCCTCGGGCCCCTTCCTGTGTAACTTCTGGAAGATAGCATCATCCACAGAAATAGAGCCTGCTTTGCAAGCTGCCTAAGGTTGCTCAGCTGCCGACGGGCTCATGCTGTAGTCCACACAGGAGCATGAAACGCCCGACCTGAGAGGTACCCGGGCCGAGTTCGTGTTCTCTGCCACCGAAGAATGAATTTCAGGAACAAACGGAGGTTATAAGAATATAGTTATTGAGGGAAAGAAAGCTCCTGTCCAAGAGAGGGACAGGAGGGGGGACCCCAGCGGGTTGTCTCCAGGAAGCGGTCTCTTCCAGGGAGTTTGATAAAGGCAAACCATGCGGTGAGGCGGGTCTAAGGTGGTGGAGAAGACATGGGAACTCGCTTAGGTGGGCATGAGGTGGGACAAAACTATGGTCAACCAATGAGGTTACGGGCACAATCGCTCTGGTAAAATTGATTAAATCCAGTATCAAATGGGGAAGTGAGTCACGTAGCAAGCGGCCATGAATACGGGACAGTGTCTCTTCCTGTTGGGGGTTAGGCTAGTGACTCATTTGGGCTCTTTCAAGGTGATTGGTAGCTATTTAGAGTATCGATCCCTGATGCCCATCCCTAGGGAAGTATGTAGCTGTGCTTCCTCTTTGTCTTGAGGTCTGGCCCATATGGGAGTGTCTGTCTCTTCCAAGTTGCCAAGTCACCTTGTCTTCCATCTTGTCTCCTTGAGGGCCTGGCCCTGTCTGACTGCCTATAATATTTCTATCTAATTGAGCTGCATACAACAGGGAGACCCAGCGGGTTGTCCGCAGGAAGCTTTCTCTTCCAGGGATTTTTAGAGTAAAACCATGTGATAAGGCGGGTCTAAAGTGGTGGAGAACATGGAAACTCGCTTAGGTGGGCATGATGTGGGACAAAACTATGGTCAGCCAATGAGATTACAAGCACCACTCAGGTAAAATTGATTAAATCCAGGACCAAATGGGGAAGGGAGTCACATAGCAAAGCAAGCGGGCATGAATACAGGAAAGGGTGTCTTCCTGTTGGGGTTGGGTTACTGGCTCTTTCAAGATGATTGATACCTATTTAGGATATCAATCCCTGATGCAGCTCCCTAGGGAGGTGTGTGGCTGCATTTGTTTACTCTTTTGTCTTGAAGTCCGGCCCACAGCAGGGGTCTATCCTGAAGTTGCAAAGTCACCTTGTCTTCCATCTTGTCACCTTGAGGGCCTGGCCCTGTCTGACTGCCTATAATATTTCTGTCTAATTTAGCTGCCTGAAACATACAGCCCTCTTGATAAGGCCCCTTCAGACCGACTTAAGGCTCCTGATTGCAGAAAGGCCTCTCCAGGGTTAGCATCTAGAAGCAGAAGACTGACAGTTATAAATTATCAAAAGGGTGGACCTGGAAGCGAGACCAAGTCTATTATTCTTTTCTCTTTTTGCTTTTGCTTTCTTTTTGAGGCGTGGTCTCACTATGTAGTACAAGCTGACCTTGAATTTGCTTATGTAGTGGATTTGGCCTAGAACATCACGGAGATCTTCCCTCCCTAGCCTCCAGGGTGCTGGGATTACAGGCATGCATCACCACCCCCTACCACACTTTTCTTATTCTAATGAATTCAGATAGGTTCTGGCCCTAGTATGAATTGCTAAAATCATTATGGTGGTCATCTAATATGGCTGAAGCCTTTCAAACCAAAGCCCATCTTCCCCAAGACCACCTCCCCCTTCTCCAGTTTAGCCCAGGACATAATTTCCTTCCACCCTTCCCGGCCCCTCAGGGAAGACCCCAGTCAGCTCCCTCAGGTATATCTAAACATCCTCTCCAAACTCCACCCCTGCAAGGCCATAAAAGCCTCAGCCTCCCTTTGTTCCAATGGAAAGAGAATTCCTCATCCTTCCCCACATTCTCTCCCAGTGTCCTAAAAGAAAATAAAGCCCCTTTCCCTTCTTCCTTCTGCCTGTATCTCTGCTGCGCAGAGTACCTATCAAATTCATTCTTTGCTGGAAAATGAATTCGGGCCTTCCTAGTGAGCTATATACTAGCTCTTTTTGTGTTTTTTATTTTGAGACATAGTTACAGCTAAACCGCCTGGGCGGGGCCCAAACCCATCTACCCTCTGCCTCAGCCTCCCAGAGTGCCAGGATTGCAGGGTGCAATCTTGCTCCCCTGACCACAGAAAGGGACTCAACAGAAATGGAGGGGCGAGTGGGACCCGGAGCAGTAGGGCTCCAGCCAGTAGGGCTTAGGGTGCAATTAGTTGTAGGTGTGGGGGAAACTGAGGCAGTTCCTAGCCCGAACATGTTGGGTTTTCTGCTACCGGATCCCGCTCCTGGCCACCCTGATGGGACCTTACTAACCTTTTGTTCTAAAATGAAAATACACAGGGAAGGGACCAGAAAGGGCTTTCACGTGGAGAGTGTGTACTTTTTTACTTTTTTTTTTTTTTTTTTTTGCGGATCCGGGGATTGCTTTTTTACTTTCACCTCAAACAAAACTGATGCATCCATTTGGCCCCGCCCGGTGGATTCGAGGGCCTCTACTTTCTGTACTGTCACTGTGCCTTTGAAATAAATAACCAAAAAGGGTGTGGCAAGAAGCAGAGGAGCGAACTATGGACAGGCTCTGAGCTCGGGGTATGGGGTATAAAATACGGGTCTAGCGTCAAGGCGGCAGGGGCGGGGGACCCTGGCTGTAGCTCTTTGTCGCGGCCAGGGGTGGGAGGGGCGCCCCGGAGGGTTCCGCGCCCCGCCCCCACCCACTCCAGCCCCGCCCCCTCCGTGACGCCTCCGGGTCTCTAGGTAACCCCTGGGGGTTAAACAAGGCAGCCAAGCGGCCGGCCTGCCCGCGTCCTGCCGGCCTCGACCCTCGAGCCTAGAGCCATGGCCCTGCCGCTGCTGCCGGGCTACTGCTTCAACCGTAATGTGAGTAGCCAGGCGTCGGAAATGAGTCCACACCCGAATTTGGGGTCAGGAGGTCTTGGGGTGTAGCCACCTCCCGGATCGTCCCCTCCCAACCCCTTCCCAGGGAGAGGTGCGGCCGGACTTCCCGGCCCCCCTCTTTTCTGCCCTGGCCGGATGCTCTTCCTACAGTACATACCTAAGGGCCCTCGGCGGTGGCGGGGCAGTTAAAGGTAGCTGGCGATCGTGAGTTCGTTGTGTGCGTTTGCTGTACGTTAGTCTCCTTACGCGGCACTGAGTGCTCCCAACAGCACTTTGAAGTAGATCCGCAGTTTTATTCTCATCTTACGGAAATGAGGCATAGCATTAGTGTTGAGGTTTTTCTTTTGTTTTTCGGGGACAGGGTCTCACTATGTAGTTTAGGCTAGCTTTGAACTTCCTTATGTAGACCAGTCTGACCTCGAACTCTCAGAGATCCTCCTGCCTCAGCCTCTTGAGTGCTGAGATTACAGGTGTGCGCCACTTTGTGGCCCCCCTGGTTCTTTTTTTTTTTTTTTTTTTTTTTGCTGAACCGGGGATTGACCCCCTGGTTCTTTTGAGAGATCGAGTCTCTTTCTTTCTTTCTTTCTTTCTTTCTTTCTTTCTTTCTTTCTTTCTTTCTTTCTTTCTTTCTTTCTTTCTTTCTTTTTCAACAGACAACCTGTCTCTACAGGCCAGGAACCTAATGGTTATTCTTAGTAGTCTATGTGAAATAGATTTATTTTTTTGTTTTTGTTTTTTCAGAACTGGGGATTGAACTCAGGCCCTTGCGCTTGCCACTCAGGCCCTTGCGCTTGCCAGGGAAGCGCTTATTCTATTGTGCCATCTCCCCAGCCCCATGGGTTTTTGTTTTTTGACACAAGGTCTTACTATGTGGTCCAAGCTGGCCTGGAACTCATGGCTATCCTCCGACCTCAGTCTCCCAAGTGCTGCAATTACAGGGGTGTAATACCACTCCAGGCACTTTTATTACTAATTGGAGAAATACATTGCAAATAAAGTGGATAGGTGGGGTTCCAACAGCCTATGAAATGATATAAAGAGGGCTTCAAACTTGCAGAGCCAGACCAAGCAGAAAACGAAACACACAAACCTTGAGCATTAAAGAACTTTGGCAGTAAGTAGCACCTTATTTATGTGTTTAGTTGCCACTCGGCTGAGCCCTTTTTTTAATTATTATTTTTAAATCATCAATTTCCCACACTGGAATCGAATTTGTAATCTTTTTTTTTTTTTTGCAGAACCAGGGATTGAACTCAGGCCCTTGTGCTTGCCAGGCAAGCGCTTATTCTACTGAGCCATCCCCCAGCCCCTTGTAATCTTATTGCCTCAGCCTCCCAGAGGGATGGGATTACAGGTGTGTGGCATCTCGCGTCAACCTCCGTAATGGCACCTTATTTAAGCAACAGCAAGGGTGGAGGGAATGGCTGAGGTTTTGTCTTTCTTTGCTCTGGCTAGTCGCGCCTGCAGAAGAAGGTAAATAATGAGTTGGGTGGAGCCATTCAGGGTATTCGAGTAAACCTCTGAGGAGTTTAGAAAGCAGAGTGCAGATTACCTTTGCATTTTTTTTTGTTTAATTTTTAAAAATTTTTTTAATTTTTTTTGGTGGAACCGGGGATTGAACTCAGACACTTGGGCTTGCCAGGCAAGCGCTTATTCTACTGAACCATCTCCCCGGCCCCTACCTTTGCATTTTGATTTTTTTTTTTTTTTTTGGTATG